ACAAGTAGGAGAGGTGTCAGAATATCCTGCCACAATCTGAAGCAGCACGCTTCCAGAGAAGAGATTGGGATTTTCACAGCAACAACAGTTTCAAGCAGAAAAAGTTTGTCTTCTGAAGGCTGTAACAGTGCACGATCTGTCAGGCTGTTCACCACATTCCTTTACCTCCTGAGGTACTGTTTTACTGACTGCAACAGTCAAACACAAATACTCTCATTAAAATTAGGCTGATTTTGGCCAGTTAGGGTATAGCAAGAAGTTGTCCTATTCTCAAAGTCATAAACCACAGTAAAACAAAAGAAGTGCTGTTCTCATCGTATAGGTGATGTGGCATCGCTTCACCAAAGGCACAGAAGTCACAAAAGCTCCAGGAACTGAATGCACTCAAATCCTTGCCTGGCCTGAGACCACCCTTCTCTGTGAGCCTTGAGGAGTATTGTGTCCTAAGTATGATAGGAGCATGCATCAGCCTGCAGCTGCTGCAGCAAAATGATTGCTTAGGAAAAGGGTTACAATTCAGATGCCTGGGTTTACTGGGAGCAGCCATATAGGCAGCAGACATCCAGAGATTAGGTTGCCATTGAAACACCAAGCTAGAGACTTTATCCCTTCCTTCAGACAGATAAATGGCATGCAATTTCTATATGTAGGAGCTTCAGCCAGACTGCTGGAAAGTTGCCCATTCACTTTGTAGCGTGACAAAGCAAAGGCATATCCTACGGCACGCAGAAGCTGAAACCTTCACTACACATACGGAGAGAGTTCAAGAATAGATCTGCTGAGGGAAAGTCTCCAGCCAAGATTGCTTCAAAGCAACTCAGCACCCAAGCTAAATAAAGAGGCTGGGGTGGAGGGCAAGAACAGAGCAGCTCATCCCATCCCAGCCAAGATGACGACACTCCTGCAGAAGTACAGCTGCCAGCTTCCCAAGAGCAAGTGAACAGACAAGCAAGGACATCATACGACTGAAGCTGCTAGGCTAGGGATCTCACAGATACTCCTCTGTCAAAGGCTTGACCCTGAGCTGCAGTTTGTGCAGTAAGAGAAAGAAACTTAACACAAATGAATGGGAGACAGGAAATGGATTAAATCCTCATCTGGCCACACTGATGTCTGCTTGTAAGCAGAGCCTCTCTAACAGAGAGCCCCTCTCAGCTGTCACCACAAGGTTGAGAGATGCCTTTTTTTTGGCTGGCGTCCCTTTTGCTAGTGAGCAGCCTGATAACGGGTGCTGGCAGAGTGAAAGCTCTCGCAGATATGGTTGACTCCCTGTAAACAAGGAGATGAAAACAGTTTGTTTCAAGTCGCAGCTGGGAGAAATACTCTAAAGCCAAAATAATGCCAATGGCTTACTGACATTTTGCATTGCTTACAGTCAAGCATAACAACATATGAATCTGGCTGTGCCCCCCACTTCAAGCTCAAGTACCAGAAATCTCACTAGAGGAGAATAGGACTGGGAATAAGCCTGACATTGCCAGAAGCTAGACTTCCAGAAAACCAAACGCTGGTACAGAGGAGGTAAGGAGGAAACAAACAATGTCATTTGATGGGAATGAAGCGTTGGCCCTGTGAACCATTATTGCTGGACCTATCATGTAGAGCAGATACAGTCAAGCAGGTAATCATTAAGGACCATAGACAAAACAGAGAAGCTCCTTCATACTACAGGAACACACTCAAGGACTGGTGACCTAGAGAAGGTGTTTAATGATACAAGAAATTCTTTGCTTCCCCTTCCATGAAGCTAGTGTAAGCCCTCTCCTATGTTTTGCAAAGTGTTGGGACAGGACACTCTAAGATTTGATACTAGTCGCACTGCTTTTCCCTGTTGAAGGTAACTACTGAGGATATTCTTACTTAGGATATCCCCCTGAGAGATGAATCCCTTGACCTCACAAGGTATCAGGGCTTCTGGACTTCAATCCTGCAGTAGCAGGATTAGATGAAACATGGGTGGAGTTGTCCTTTGCTGTGAGAGCCATGGTGGCAAAGCAGCAATCCCACAGGCTCAAGTTCTGCCATGCCACATCCATCATTCTCTTTTTGGGAGAGGTTAGCTTGAAACACAAACGAGGTAACATTTACCCTAACCATAAAGCGGTTGCCTTCACCCTGCACCACAGACAGCGTGCTCATCACAAGAAAAAACAAATTCCTGAGAAAACCAGGACAGCTCCCAGGCAAACAGCAGTGTCATCCAAAGCTTTCAGACATGCCAAGATAGCTTTTGGGGTTTGGGTTGGGGTTCTTTTGTTTTGAAGAAGTAGGTACAGAATCACTTTCAAACCACTAGTTAGGAGGAAAAAAAAAAAAAGTAGGGCACCTGAGCTGAGTTTTCTGCTCTGTTCATATTCTGTAGGAATTTTCAGAGATTTGTCAAAGGAAGTTGTGCAGCATGGTGGCTGGTATAAGCTTATAAGTCCCTTCAAAGCCAGTTTCTTAGCAGAAAAATAAGGAAAATAAGTGTAACTTGCAAGGAACTGAACTAGCAAGTGAGGTACTGAATATAAGAGGGACTCAACTACCCTATGACTTTGGGGACTGTCTTTCTCATTGCTATCCTTGGGAGTTTTCATCTGAAAATGGGAGATGGGATTCAACTGAATTAGGAGACACACTGGTGTCTCCTAAAGAGACAATATTCATTTTGGTGAAACAGGTGAAAAAAAAAAAATCATTTAAAAAAACATTTTAGAACCTCAGATTGACTTGGAGATGAGAGAAAGCCAATTATTCACACATCTCTAGGTGCTGGCAACATAGCATTGATAGGCTGCCAGGTCGGCCCAGGAAATAAAACATCAAACATCAACCATACAACATGACTGAGGGTTATCAAGCGTTGCCCACATGTCACAAGATCCATCATTTGCAGTGGCTGTTTTTCATTCTGTTACCAGAAATGAGATGCACTGCTGAAAACAAGCAGCCACTAATAAAAGATGTATGGGGTGGGGATAACTTATCCAACAACCCACTCAACTCTCAGGACTTCAGTGGCTTCAACTTCATTGCTACTTGTTCTTGGGGCTCTCCCTTTTGTACAGTGGCAGTACAGGAAACTATCAGGAACCAGCCCATGTCACTCTTGCTTTACCTTTGTTGATAACTGAGTGGGCTCCAGCATTTGTCAGCAGTTTTCTGGAGGTCCTTGGGAACGAGGGGTCCAGGGTCTTTCTCTACTTCATGCAAGAGTGTCATATGATGCACAACAGACAGTATAGTCATTTCCTTGGAAGGGTGCCATTCACTTTTCTTGTGTTTCCTCCCACTTGCAAAGGGAACAGAGCATTAGCATCCTCCCATCTCTTCTGGTAGGTCTCTTCATGGTGATTGTCTTCCAAAAATGCATCTCCTGTCAGCTGACATCTTAAATATCAATAACCCCAGCTTCTTTCCATGATATTTTCACACAGAAAGAAAAATTGAGAAGTCTGCTGCCATTCTGCATTGTCTCCAAAACACCTGGACTCATCAAGCAAATAAACCAAACTGCATTTGAAACTGAAAATGGTCCATGAATAACAGTATCACAACAGCACACACTATTCCTAAAGTCTCTGGGTTAACAATGTAAGAATCAATGTATGTGAGTAACTGCAGGAGCCCACAAAAAGGCTTTTTACCAGTAACATGATCAATGGTTTGGTACTTATGAAACTACAGTTATGTTAACAAGGAAAAATAAGCAAGATTTTTGGCAAGTTTAGGAGACAAGGTGAAAGCTCAAAAGTTTCTAATGACAATTATGTGCGTAAAAAGTCTGGGAAATTAAAAAGCTTCAACAGAAGTTTGGCCACGACAGTGTAAAATATTAAGTGTTTCAACCACAGCCTTGCATAAAACAAGGCCAAAGAGACACCAAAGCAGATATATTACAAGTGAAAAAACTTAGACTGACCAGTGGCCAAGTAGAAACTGGAGAACCAACTGTGGTAACTGCCACATGGAAAATGTGAATTCCAGATGAAGAGTTGCAAGAACAGATTGGGAAGGTGAATCTCTGGGTTTTAGGTGGGTATCAAGTACAAGAGGACCTCAGTCAGTGCCCTGTAGGCGAATTGGTAACAATAGCAATGAAATGACTAAGCTTTCTAAGCTAAATTAAGGGCTTGTCTACATGGGAAATTGTTATAGAAGCTAGGTGTAAATTTAGAGCACAATGGGGGGTTTTGCACCAATTCCCAGATGGGTGGGTAACTATTCTGCTCTGAGAATGTCTTTCAGAGAAGGCAAAGCTCAAAAATACAAAGACACTTTGCATACTGAAAGGTGGTAGCTAGGGATAACTATTTCACACTTTTTTTTTTTCCCCCTTAAATGTAGTTGGGTCCTAAGACTGTAAATGATGGAAAGGCAAAGCAGACTAACAGCAGCCTCAGGGCAAGTTTTTGAAAGTCACTGTCTCAAAGCTTTGTTTCTCATCTGTGGAGAAGGAACATTGTGCTTTCATGCATGTCTTTAACAGATACTGAGATGCAGGAATAAGAGGTGCTGCTAGGGAATTCCACACTGAAAGGTACAGGGCATACTACCTTTGTCCATCACCAGCTGCAAGGAATTTGATCAAAGCTTTCCAGTGTATGTGATCAATATTACCCTTCAAGACCAGAGTATAAAGACTCAATACCAAGAAGCCACATAGTGCCATTGGTCCAGCATCCCTGCTAACCCTGTCCAGTCATGCTGCACTCTTGTTGGATTTTACATTTATTTAGCTTCATGCCTGACTCACAGCAGCCTCCTGCAGCAAGAAGTACAAACTGGCATTACAATCTAAGGTAAACTGTTTCACATAGCTTGTCCCTAATATACACTTACCTTCACGTGTAAGTACTCTGCAGCTAACACCAGTGGCATTCTTTAGTTACACTACCACAAAGCAGGGTATCAGCCTCTGGCCCATGGATCTCAACCTCTAGGTAATACTTAAAAGCTAACCAATTTAATGAGAAGTACAGGAAAATCTGGACAACATGACACATGAAGACTTTTACCTCACTAAGTTGGCACAAGGTCCTGGCCACCGGCAGCTTTGATAAACTCGCTGGATCACTGTTTCTGACCCATTCTGCACTTGGCAGGAAACCGTCCGTGTAACCGTATAGTGACACCAATGCCTGCAGAGAGAAAGGACACTGTTAGCCCCAGTAAGACAGCAAGCTGAACCAACATACATCAGACTGCAACAAAATCAGACCACATATGGGGGGTGGAGTTGCTTCTGCCAGCCATAGCTAGCCTAACTTGCAGCCTTCGTTTTTCACCCCACCCTCTCCTCCCAATAGCTGCAGAAAGATTCCCTGCTTTTGCCAACCTGAACCACAAGAGATCCAGTAACGCCTCTTGCTTGGTCCTCAGACGCCAGAGTTTTATAGTACATAATTTAGGTCTGTTAGTTTTCATAAACAATAGGACTTGGGGGAGGAAGAGGGGGAGAAAAAAAAAAAAAAAGCATTCCAAATCTCCAGATAGTCATTTCCCATTGTACTGGTCTTAATTTTATTCTGCTCATTATGGTATCATTCCCCAGCCTCCTATCATTCTGAACAACATCTGAGTTGGAAAACTGCTTTTTGGTGTGGTGGAGCTCATTGTCAGCAGGGTTTGAACAAGCCGGGTGTCAAACAAGTCATGTTGCTGTCCTGATGAGGTTACAGTCTAAAAAACGGGCAAGAGAAAACACAGGGCAGGGAGGGACTAGTGTCTTAAGCTGTCTCATAAGAAAACAAGGGTGAGAGACCTCCTCACCGTAAGGCATATGAGAAGGCAGGAACTGCAGTGTCAGCCCTGGGAATCAGGACCCATAGACCCAAATACTGGTTTATGGTTTTGATTTTGTACCTCAGTGTAGTTAACAGGTTTGAGAGCCACTTTCCTATTGACTGGGGATCAGAACGGGGGTCACTAATGGGAAGTGGAGACACCAGCTCGCACGCCAAAAGTGCTTGTGCAAGCATTTCCTGCACATGCAGAAGAGTCCTGCTCCCCATCTATCTTAAAGTAAAAACCCCTAGTACAGTTGATCCCTTCTCCAAGTACCACAGTGGCTCCCCAACCTTGCATACCAAAAATCAAAGTGCTTGCACAGTAGAAACAGGCACCTGCACATCCCCTCCTCCTTCCCTAACCCACCTTCCCCATGGCAGTTTAATTTTTCTAGTATTTGCCATTTACAGTATTTGCTGCATTTTGTTTCCTTTCTGGATTCCCCCCCCGCCCCCCCCCCCCATCTCCACAGGACGCTCTCTGGATAACTCCTGTTTCAATGAATAGGAGGTACACATGCCAGCGGCTGAGCCGAGCACTGCAGACCACAGTGGACAAGCTGGGGCCAAGCAGGCTGCTCACCAAACCTTCGGCTATGACCAGACGGGTGATCTGGGGCACCCAGAGAGAGGGTGGCTTTCTGCCCAGTGCCATCGAGCTCATCAGCTGCACCAAGGCAGGGCCATGCAACTTTCCCTGCAGAGACTGCTCTTGC